AGGATTTTACTGAAGACCAGAACCCAGCAGGATTTATTGTAGTTGTCATAATCTTCCTAACGCGGGGTTGACTAGCTTGATCCTAGGCTTGTTCAAAACGTGGATTCACCCCTTAGTTTATCAGTTTTAAGGGTGAACTGGGGCCTGCCCTTGGCTATGACTAATGAGAGGGGCTGCAATGCAAGCATGAGCAGCCTAACAAGTGGTTTGTGCCTTTATGCACTCTTGCTTTGATACTTCAACATCACTCTTTCCCAGGTTTACGTGAGCATGGTTTTCAGCCATGCCTCAGGACACCGTAAGGAACTCATAATGCATGCAGTGTGTAACACAATGTCGGGTCGCTTGAGCTCATTGAGAGATCTTGCACTGGCTATAGGTTGGAGGTATATATAAAACATAGTGCCGAATTGTGACTTCTTTGGCTTAACCTTCTTCCGCCCAACAAACATCTTATGTTGATTTTGGAATGTGTTTTGCCTGGTTGGGAAATATCTCACATGAAGCAGGTTATGCATCTCATGCTTGACTGGACTCTGTCACGTTGGGTGAACAAAAATCTCTATTGCAACTTAACCATGTTGACCTGGAATAGCCTAATAAGATATGCGTCCCCTGCCACAATCCACGGCTTTTCCATCTCCTCTGACTGTCTCCTAACATCAACCAATCTTTGGTTTATTCCTTTGTGTTTCCATCCCTGTAAAGGTAAAATCTCTTGCATGTATGCACGGTTAGGTATCTTGTTAGCAATGCTTTGACTGTTTCTATTCTGTCTTTTATCTGTTTCCATCCACTACAGTGACGTCAGCCAGAACAACCTCACGGGCCAACTCCCTCCAACAATAGGCAACCTCGAACTTCTCTCAAAGCTGTAAGGCACTTAGCATTGTAGAAATGCTTGAGAAATATGTCGCGTAACCAAAGTGAGGCAAGCCGATACAAGCAAAACATGAACCAATTGACAGAATTCGAAGAGGGCTAGCTTGGAGGCGACTTGGGCTGGTCCAAGTGAAGAAAGTGTTCCCCAATGGACTTGGGGTGCCAAATGGATGCTCAACTCACCCACAGTCGAGATAGGGATGTGGGTAACAAAGTTTGCCAAAGCGCGTTTCCAATGTTGGACTTCGTGGGTCCAGGCTGGAACCGCGAACTCAAGGTTGAGAAACGTGCTTAATTGGGGTACCTAGCTGTTGATAAAATTTACTCGAGGAACACCCTATATCTAATATGACCAAACCTTAATGTCTACACTAATTCTATGTACACAGGGTATATGTAATTAGACATACACAGGATACATGTTAGACACAAACACGAGGGCACGCACCTGCTCGGTGCGCCTCGAACATGTTTTGTTTTTGTGGCTCAACGTGTTCAGGCCGAATATGTTCGTGTTCGTTTCGACATCCCTTTCCGACGAACGCAAATCTGCTCGTTAAAAAAGGTTGATGAAACACACTAATCAAGCTCATTTTTTAGCTCGCCTTTTTTCCCAACCCTCCTTCCACAGCCTAGACTGCAAGCTCCAGCAGCTAGGGTACCTAGACTCTAATGAAATAGTTGTGGTGGAACAAAAATCTACTTGTTTTATTTCCTTCACTCCCAAACGTCCACCAAGTATAGCCACACCAACCTGGATGCCAAAATCCACCATCCAGGATTATGTGTCTTGAAGACTGCTGATATGGCCAACACGAACATGTTCGCCCCAAACATGCTCGTTTTTGGGCAAACATCAAGGTGTTCACCTCCCAAAGGGGAACACCCGAACACCTTCCTCCACCTTCCTCCCTGGAAGTGTTCGGGCGAACACAAACATGTTCGGTACGCTGAACATGTGTGTTCGATGCAAGGCAAACACGTCACCTTCAAGTTCGCCCCGAACATGTTCACTAGCCCAGGATGTGCATATTCAAGCTCAACTTTTCAACATCCGTGCACTAGCCCAGGATGTGTAGAATGGGCTACTATTTATGAAATGGGCGGCGGTTTCAGCAAGTTTATATTTCCAGCTGGTTTCTTCCCTAAACGCCCTAAACACAAGGCAAACACAAACATGTTCGCCCTGAACATGCTGGGCCAGAAATAATCAAGTGTTCGCCCTTGTGCTCATGTCTACTTGGCATGGTAAAGTATTACAACGTGTTACCATAAATCTCAAATAGCAACCTCAAAGCGCTTTAGTTAGAGCTGAAACCCATTCCCGATCCATAGTTTGAAAACACTCCATATGCAGCTGCGGTCACATGCTCCGTTCGAGAACCCGTTTCGCATGCAGGAACATATCCTCGACTGCAATCACATGCCCACCTGACTACAGCAGCTGCGTGGTCCCACAGACCAATTCAAGTGCTTTCTGCAGCAAGTGCGGCTCCTTCTGCACCACATGTGACAAGCCACCACCAGGTAAGGCTAACCTTATGCAGGTGGCTCCTACTTTCACAGCCCATTGTTGCTTTGCTCTCATTAGCGCTAAGAGGATGAACAGTGCATAGCCACCTACTTAGCTAGCTTTTCCACTGTCAGGTGCGGTAACAATTACAGCTTCGCTACTCCTCAATATGTGCTTCTGTTGTATGCATCCTCATGGCTTTTACTGAAGAATACGTGTTTCTATCCTTCATTGCCTTCCTTTGCTTCCTCCCCCCATGCAAACATGTGCCTGATGCCACATCCACTTTCACCAAGCCAACCGCCATCCTCATGTTTGATTGCCTTTTCCCTTTCCTCTCTCTGTCTTTCTACCCCATAACTGTACCCTCCCCATCGCCAGTGCCAAACCCCTCTCCACCTCCTCCAACGTCATCTCCCAGTGAGCCTACAGCCTCTCTCTCCCAAACTGGAGGCGGTTTATCCAGCGGAGCCATTGCTGGCATTGCTGCTGCTGGCACTGTGGCTGTCCTCGTGCTGCTGGTGCTGCTGACCTGGCTTCTGTGGAAGCGATACCGCACCAAAGGGGCAGCAGGAGGAGACAATACTAGCACCAATGTGGATGGCAAGAAATCAATCAATAACATTTTGTTTCAAGGTAAGATATTTACGTAGATGCTGAGCCTAGATGAAGCAATAACAAGGCAAACGCCAGGCAATCGAAAGAAAATCAGAGTATCATCAAAATCAGAAGATCATGAAAAAATCCAAGAGTCAAAGCTACAAATGCATGTGCAATTTCTCACCATGGAACATTCCAGGTCCTCCCAGATGTCAAGCCGTCTTCTTGGTTGGGTCTGACTCATGAGTTTTGGGTTAAAGACTCAGAATCACTGGTCCGAACCTTATTTTTGGGTTGCGACGCAAAACCCCACAAAATTGCATGTAATGGCACTGTCTTTTGCCTGCTGCTCTATGCGAAATAGTCATGAGGAAATGAGACAACCAGACTGGCTGATTTTTTTTATTTTTATTTTGCAGAATGTGAATCGCCTAGTCCCAAGTTCGGAATAATGGGTCTGGGTCGAACTGGGCAGGATTGGTTCCAGTTGAACGATCAAAATTTAAGCTGGATATCTGGACTGGGGTTCATTGCCAGGTATCACACAGCCACTAGGTATGGTGTTGAGATGGCAGTACAAAAAGTTGGCGAAACTGTTCACCATGGATGTGACTGAATTCACCTTCTTGTAGAAATTCATCCAGCCTTAACCTCGACTTGTCAGGAATCAACGAATGAAGCAATGGTGCTTGCTGGTCCTTCCTGGGTCATTAGCAATCCAGAGTAGGTGGTTTAAATTCCCAGGCCCCTTGAATTATCGGTCTTCTCTTTCACGTTCACCATCTTTTACATCTCTTTGCAGTACCAAATAATGAGGATGAGGACCCAGCAGCAGCGGAAGGGGAGGCCGCAGCAGCTGCAGCAGCTGCCGCAGCAGTGCTACCATTACCAGCAGTACAAGGGATGCAGGATGATGACTTTGTGGTGGAGATGGAGGCAGCACGGCCATACGTGTGTCGAGAGTACTCTTTGGCAGAGATGTCTAAGGCCACAGGAGATTGGGCAGAGGGGAACAGGATAGGAAGTGGTAGCTTTGGGGATGTTTACAAGGGTGTGTCGCCCCACGATTGCAATCAAGCCTGGGCAGTCAGGCGAGCTCGAGTGCTCACGAACGACTTCCAAAGAGAGGTACCATGGTGTGAGTTTTTGTTGATATGTTAGTGGCACGTTTCTCATTAGTTTCTTCTGCCAACCCCAAGCATAGCTGGTGGTCTGATTATTCAATCTCCTTTGATATGTTTACTGTTTTCCCTCTCAGGTGAAGGAGATGGCAAGCAAGCACCATCCGCATCTTGTGCGTCTATTGGGCTATTGCATCGACTTCGACCTCTCCACACGACTCATGGAGCAGATCCTCGTTTACGAGTTCATGCCCAACCACGACCTTGAGAGCTGGATTGGTTCTGGTGTCTCCCATCCTCTTTCGCTTCGTCAAAGGCTTGACGTTCTGATTGGAGTGGCAAAGGGGTTGCAGTATCTTCATGACTTTGGCATTGTGCATCGCGACATCAAACCTGCCAACATTCTCCTTGATGCAAAGATGCAGGCATGTCAATATTGTTGTAGGCCTTGCTGTACATGGTGAAAGATGCCTACTCGTATCCATCCCTTAGCAACTATCATGTGGTGTTTTGCATCGCCTCGCATGCTCTGAATCTTTCACATCAATGCTCTTGTTGTCCACGGGCAGGCCAAGATTGCAGACTTTGGGCTTGTGAAGCTTGGTGGGGGCACTGCTATGGGCACGTCTGTGGCTGCCACTCGAGTGATGGGAACACCGGGCTATGTGGACCCTGCGTATTTCAAGTCTCATAAGGCCACTCCAGCAGCAGATGTGCACAGGTGAGCAGATTGGCACAGGTGAGCAGATTGGCACAGGTGAGCAGAGTAGGTTATGCTAGCAAATCCATGCAAGTTATAATGGCATGAGAAAACAGTGAAGGTTAGCAGATGAGCACTTTGGCATGAGAATAGTGTTCAAGGAGGCTTCCAAATTTGATGAGAAATGCTCATGATTTTTGTTTCTTCTAGGGAAGATAGGGTTTGGGTTTCGGGCTTGATGTGATTTCTATGTTTCCTTTGCCTCACACCCAAAGAAGGTCCATGCCTGACATTGAAGCCATTTCCAGGCGTTCTTACCAATCGAATAGCTTGGTAATGCTTGGTGATGGGGCTTGCGTGACGATCACTTGTGGAATGATTGGGGAAACAAATTTCATTGTGACCATAAAGCTTTTGTACATCTGAGCGTGATTTCAAGTATGATGCCTTTGTTTATTGACGGGTTGCAGTTTTGGCGTGGTGACGCTAGTGGTTATCACGGCGCGCAAGGCTGTCCATGTAACAGAGGAAAACCAGATCAATCTCAAACAATGGGTGAGAGACAGAAGTGTATCATGCCAAGGATGGCAGATCTTGTAACACAACGTATGAGAAAGCCAGCTGCACTGCGTAGTGAGTTTGCTTGATAATATCAATGTTTCCTTGTTGCCCTTAGCCAAACATATGTAGGCCAATTCATGTTCTCCTTACCTCCATTCCCAACAGGATACATGCTGCAATGATTAAGACGAGCACTTACCTTTGAATCACACCTTGTATCTGTAATAGGATTCACCTTCCTATCATCCTGCTTTCTATGTAGCACTAATTTCCTATGATCATACATCATTCCATCAATCTCTGAGTTGCCACATTTCTACCATTCTTCACAGTTTTTATTTTAATGTGAACCTCTGTGAACATTTTGTATCACCGAATTCCATGTGATGTATGCATTTAACCTCGCAGGTGGCCCCGTTGGTGGACTCCGGTGCTGTATTGGCATTCAAGGACCCTCACTTGGACGCACCAGATGACTTGGTGCTGCGCTGGGCTCGCCTTGCCCTCTCCTGCACCGCCATGCCTGCAGCCTCCCGCCCCTCCATGAATCAAGTGCTTTGGGAGCTGGTGAAGTTGAAGCAGGAGGCGTCCGGAGCACATGAGGGTCATGTGGGCGAGGCCAAATCTCGCATTGACATGGAGCTTGGGAGCTCCATTGGCTCCTCCAGCTTCACTGCTGAAATGGCCCGTGCGGAGCGCGAGGGGGGCATGCCAAGTGGCTCTTCCACGTAATCAAGTTTGTTTTCACATGTAGCTTACTGGTTTACCTTGTGCTTCTGATGCCAATTGTTTGCTTCAAATGAAAACATGGTATGGGACACTTAGGAACACTGACAGAGGCTGTGGAAGGGATACTGGTAGCATCTTTTGATGAGCACAAAAATGGGACAGGAAAATTGGGCTGTGTAGTACACTGTAGCTTTGGCTTGTCCATGGGCCAGATTTTATGCTTGTCACCTTCTTCCTGAAACTTTTAGCTGTTGCATGCATGATTTTCTGGATTGTGAATTAGATTCACGTACAGGGTTGTTTTGGGGTTTTTAGACAGAATATGGCTCTTCAAACATCAAGCTTGAAAAGCTAAACATTCCTCTGTATATCCCCTATCCCTCTCCCCACTCACATGCCGCCTCTCCTCTCACACCAGCACTCCTTTCATACCCACCACTCCTCTCATACCCACCACTCCTCTCATACCCACCACTTCTCTCACACCCCCCTATCCACTCTTACCCCCCACCCATACCATTCCCCAACCCCAACTCGTACCGTCATCGCCCGGATAGTAGACATATGTCTTATCTCGTACACGGGCGAAAGTGCTGGGGTTGTCTTGTATTTGGGACGATTTAGGGTGTCTTATAACTCTTATAAATGGAGAAAGAACTGTTTAGAAGATACCCCCTCGCTATAAGAATGCCCCTAACCTCTACACTGGCTTAACGCGTACACACAAATAGGTGTCTTATAATGAGGCGAGCTTGTTTATAAGAGACACCCAGATAATAGACAACCCCTGTCTACTATTCAACACTGTCTACTTACCGGGCAATGACGGTATTATACTCCCCACTCCTCTCATAAACTCCCTCCTTTCGTAAACCCCACTTCTGTCATGCCTCTATATTCCTCTCATGCCCCTAAACTCCTACCATTCCCCCTCTGTTACTCCTCACTCCTCTTATACCCCCCACTCCTCTCATACCAGCCTCCTCTTGAATCCCCCACTCCTCACACATCCCCTCTTTTCATAACCTTCACTCCTTTCAAACCTCCACTCCTCTGATAAACCCGGTTCCTCTCATACCCCTCACTCCTCTCATACCCACCATACCTCTATGCCCCCCATTCCTCTCATACACCCCACTCACCTCATAACCACCACCATTCTATTACCAGCCATGCCTCGCATACCCCCCTCTCCACCCATCTCCCCACTCCTCCCATACCCCCAATTCCTCTCATGTCCCCAACTCCGTTTACACACCCCAATTATGTCATAGACCCACCCCACTCCTCTCATACCCCCCACTCTTCCCAATCATTTTATTCCAAGTAGTCACAGTTTCTTATGGTCTTGCTTCCTATGCATGCGCTCCTGCATTGAGCCTTTGGACTCTTGCACCATTGTCTCGTCCACTCCCTCCATGCACAGTGGATATTTTGGATTTGAAGAACCTGTGCAAGAGCAAGATGCTTGCGCTAGACTTCTAGTGCTGTTTAGAAATTATAAAGCCTGTTCATAAAAAGTGCTACCGTACCGACCATAAGCTTGATAGATATTTGTGAATTGTGCATAGAAAAATGGTGTCTTTGATTACATCTCCTAGCCTGATTTGTCACTGACTGTGCTCACACGTGTGACATCTTCCAAGCTAACCAATTTGTAACATTTCTGATGAATTACTCTCTATTCTAGATGAAAACACATCATTCAAGCAAGGCACTGCAGATGGTTGTGAACCATTTTAATTTGGAACAGTGCAAGTTACTGTGTTATGGAATGGATGGAGCACGCACAGTCCAAGGTTAATGAAATCTTTATTGATACAATTTGTAGTTTGAACCATAATGTATCCTTGCAGCTTGACTACGAACTCAGCCTTCAACCGCCAAGAAATCATGAACGTACGTTTATCATGGCAGGAAAAAAGGCAGGGAGGTGAGGAATCTGAATGCTAAGAAGTAGGGCACACTTTCTAATAATGTACCTAACCTCTCATGAGAGCCAGTTCAGCATCAAGAGTCCCCTGCTCATTGTTCTGGGTGCCAATCTTGGCCTTGTGGCTGCTAAATATGGCTTGTTGGGGCTAAAGCGCCAATGGTACGTAGGTCAGTTGGTTGCTGACGGTAGGGTGGGGGAGGACAAAGGGTAGTGTGGGAGATTGTGGGTATCTCCTGTTTGTGGAAGGCATGGCCCTGCATCATACCTGCACCCACGACTGGCCTCAGACTGACATGAGGCTGACATGAGACTAACCAGAAACTGACCAAAAGACTGACCCGTGTTTGACCTTAGACTGACCTGAATTTGACCTAAGACCAACCTAAAACTGATACGAGACTGACCTGAAATTGACCTGAAATTGACCTGAGTTTGACCTGAGAGTGACCTGAGAGTGACCTGAGAGTGGCCTGAAAGTGATATGAGACTCTCATTATGAGAGTTTCTAGAGCGATCTGAGTGTGACCTGAAAGTGACCTACGACTGACACAAAACCTTCTCCCCCCATGTACTTGACTGGCGAAGCTAAAGAGGGCATTGAACACAAAGGGCGTGCTACACGGGCCAGGGTTGTCGATGAAAAGGAAGAGGCAGATGGGCGCTGCATTGTGCTGCTCCTGACGTGTTGCTGGTGGGGGGCGTGAGGATGATGGTGCCATTGAATGGTTGCGCTGCTGCACCTGCCAGGGAGACTGCTGTTGTCTGTGATGATTTGGTTGAAGGGAGAATTGCAGGGTTATCCAGAGCGAGGCAAGGCAGATGGGTGCAAACGGAACGGAAGAACTATGCTTGGATGTAAATAAATCAACACCAGGAGTTCGAGAGGTTTCAACTGCGATGCAGCTTAATGGTAACAATTATGAGGAATAAGCAGGGTATGCAACGCAATCAAACGGCACAACAAGAGAGTGCCATCTGCTTCTTACACCAGATCACTCAGCCTCTCCCAAAACTTGTGTATACACACAACTGTAGGAGCACGAGGGCAGTCCGGCCTGGTTGTCGAAGTTGCTATCGCAGGTGTATACTGATTCCTGCACAGACTCACTGAAGGAGCACATGACATGCCCGCTGCACAGGGGTTGGCAATCCCCAGCAGAAACCCCACAGAACGCACCACACTCCTCTGCACTCCTCTGCTCCAAGTAGTCTCCAGGCGCCCGGGATGCGTTGAGCAGACAATGCTCAAAGGCGTTGCCAAGGTAGGTGTGGTTGGCCTCGGGCGGGTTGATGGTCCCGTGGAAGAAGAAGTTGCGGTGGGTGTAGGGTAGGTAGGGCGGGAACTGGTTGGCTGCAGGTAGGGCGACAGGGGCAATGGCAGTCACCCTGTCACTGGTTGGCTGACATGTCACTGTAAAAAAGGGGGGGCGAGGGCAGGGAGAGCCAAGGCGAGGAGTGGGTGGGAAAATGGCGCATGAGCGGGGGTGTGACAAGAGTGGGTGAGAAGTGAACACGCACAGGGTGGTGCAGAGGAAAGATGCAGTGTTCTGTTGGAAGAATGTGTTTGATGCTGGTCAGCAATTACCAGCGCGCAAGCAGATGAGCCTTGAACATACAGATAAACCATCGGACCAAAGGAAGGGGCTTGGTGTAAACCATCGGACCAAAGGAAGGGGCTTGGTGTAAACCATCGGACCAAAGGAAGGGGCTTGGTGTAAACCATCGGACCAAAGGAAGGGGCTTGGTGTAAACCATCGGACCAAAGGAAGGGGCTTGGTGTAAACCATCGGACCAAAGGAAGGGGCTTGGTGTAAACCATCGGACCAAAGGAAGGGGCTTGGTGTAAACCATCGGACCAAAGGAAGGGGCTTGGTGTAAACCATCGGACCAAAGGAAGGGGCTTGGTGTAAACCATCGGACCAAAGGAAGGGGCTTGGTGTAAACCATCGGACCAAAGGAAGGGGCTTGGTGTAAACCATCGGACCAAAGGAAGGGGCTTGGTGTAAACCATCGGACCAAAGGAAGGGGCTTGGTGTAAACCATCGGACCAAAGGAAGGGGCTTGGTGTAACAAGCATTTTCAGTCCTATCTGTAGTCCTCCTTCCCAATCCAATGCTCTCTTAGAATGGGCTCTTTCAGGACCCCCTCAACACACCAAGGCAAGTAACAAATGGCACATGGCCCATTGGCACATGGGACCTGGGACATGGCAAATAGCACATGGTGCATGCCATATGCGATTCCCCCCATGCACGTGCAGCGTGACAAGGCTGGTCATATTGCGTGTGATGCCGTACACATCGCCAGAGAGGACGTTCCTGTTCAGGTAGCTGGAAGAAAGCACATCCGAAGACAACTCGTGAACGCGGCGTGCATGGCATGGCAGCACTTGGACTCCCATCTAGCAGGGTTGAGTGCGCTTCCTAAGGCCCTCAGCGGAGGTAGCATGGAGTGCTGTTGTTGCATGCAGTTGCGTTGCATTCAAGCATGATTTCAACTACATGTCAAGGTTGGTAACTTGGATAAGTGTGATTGGACCAGACGCCAAGGGACACTGGATACAACAGCAAGCAGCCAGGGTGCACACACAAAAAGCCCAATTTCTGAAGGAGAATGATCTGGGGACCGTGCCCCTTAGCCCCACACCCTCCAGCTACCTGAACCCACAGCGTGGAAGACGTCGTGTGCACACGTGATACATCACAGACTATGATGATGGAACGATAAGGGAGTCCTTGAGTGAATGAGAGAGAGCGCATTCTATTGTAGTCTGCATATATGTCATTAACACGCAATGTCTCAGTACCTTTCTGATGACTCTTGTCCTCAAAGCTACTGACATAGACTGATGCAAATCCAAGGAGACTCAGAATCATACGTGCACAGGAGGTTGCACCAGCAACACACCAGGCAAGCAAGGCAAACACCAAGAGAGAAGCTACAAGGATGGGTTATGGTTGGCGAGATGTCAAGGTGACTCAGGGTTCCAATAGAGGGGCTAGGTTCCACCAATGTTTGACCGTGCCAGCTCCCTGTAAATACATGGCTTGATTAAACACTAGGTTGG